AAGAAAAAAGAGAAAAAAAAAAAAAAAGGAAATGTTGTTTTTTTCATATTCTTTGGAATTGAGTAAAAGGCAAAAGCATGTGACTCATAATGGGACTGCCTTCCAAAACCCATGATGGCCCAACCTGCCCTTTATGATCTAAAAAGAGAAATTTAAAACAAAGATCAAAAAAGATGTATTATTTGTTATCAATGTATTTAATAAATATTTGTCATTTAAAAATTGAATCTCAATTTTAAAAACGGTATTTAGTAATATGTGTGTAAATTAAGGGTAGTTAATTACCGACTAAATATTTAGTTAATATTAAGTAATTTATTAACATTTTTGTTATTAATTTGGTAGGAATATTATTTACAATATTATCTAGTTTATAATATATTATATTTGACCTATTTTAATTTTAATGAATTTATAACATGACAAACATATTTATCAAAGTTGTTTTTTAATATAATTCTGCATTTTAAAATTTCAAATTTCAAATTTCAAATTTAAAAATTTTTAAAATATAAAAATGTTGTTTCCATAATTTCTACTATTTATATTAAACCAAACGATATCTAAATTACCAACCGGTTATCATTTTTGTATTACCCTTCTTTTTATCTTTACATTTCTATTCTTTTTTCGGTTTCATGTCCTCTCCCTAGACATATTTGATAATTAGTTCTCTAAAATTTAAATTAAAAAAATTAAATTTGTATATGAAATTAAATATTTAAATTTGGTATAATAATATTTTTTTTAATATTTATTATACATCTTACATGTCAAGCAAATTGTAAATAGAAACAGGAAAAAACAAAACAAAAACTTACCGCCTATTTGACAACATTCGTTTTTCATTCTAATTTCTAATTCTATTATAGAACAATTATTTGACAACTATTTAGATTTATTATTTCTAATCAATTTCAAAATTGTGGAGACATTTTAGAAACAACCTAAACAAATCTTGAGTTCACATTTTCAATTAAAAAAAAGTTTAACTAAAAATATTATTTTATCTTTCTTGAATCTATTTATAAGTTTCGGGACCATGTAATTTTATTCTTTAGAATATGAAACGAAAAACTGGAAACACATTACCAAAGGGTGGTACATTCAACCTAAATAATTACTAACGATCCATTTGATTACTGAACAAACTTTCTTTGATAATCAATTCAATTTTCTGTTTTTAGTGTCTATTTTAAAAAATATATATAATTTTCTAAAACTGATTTATTTTTTCAAAATCTAATTTTTTCGATCTAATACCCAACTTTCTTTCTTTCTCGTATTTATCTCTAATAAGTAACTTTTTTCTTCATAAACTTATCTCTACAAAATTTATTTTTCTCTCTCTAAATTTTCATATTTTAAATATTTATTATTATTTCTCCCTCTTTAAAATTTTTCATCTTTACATCTTTTTAATTTTTTTTCTAACGGATCACTCTCATTTCTATCTCTAAAAATTTAATATTTTCTCGAATTCTTTTTCTCTCTATAATTTCATTTTTTAAAACTTTTCTCTCTTTTTAATTTATTTTTCTCTTAAAATTATATCTTATTTTATCATTCAATTATCTTTTTTTATAACTTTTATTTATTTCTATAAAAAATTTAAATTTTTCGCACTATAATTTTTCTTTTTCTTTTTAATTTCTTTTTTTTCTTTAATGTATATTTTCCTTACACTTTACTTTTTTTTCTTCTAAAATTTGTCTATTTTTGTCTTTAATTTTTCTTTCACTAATTTTCTTTTTCTAATTCTTTCTCTCTCCAAAATTTCTGCTTCGCCCAACTCCTATGCTTACCACGAACATCAAATCATCACGTGGCTGCTAAAGCAAGCTAAGCTTCACACGGCYGCCAAAAGACCCTCTCACGGCCGAAGGATCCGCAACACGTTGGAGAGCTTTTAGATCCAGCCCTAAAACAGTTATAGCAGCACTGAGCAACATCCAACAGCTCCAGTCCTACAGGTTTCCACTAAAGTGCCTTAAGTAGCCCTCGAAGAGTCCGTTTATTCTCTCCATCTTCGCTTTCAAAGATATACCAACCGTTTGAGACAAAGATGGACTGTCAAGAACGTAGAGGAGGTAGGATGGACAGTTGGTCAGATCTAGTATGGATCGTACATGGACGGTAGTTGATAAAAAAATCTAAATTTATATTTTTGTGTCTCTACATTAGAGATGATAAAGAATAGGAAATGCATATCTCAACCCCGTCTGGATTTTCATTTTTTTTAATAGTTAGTATATATTTTATTAACATATTTACTAAATTGTGAATAAAAAACGAAAAATATTTTTTAAAAGTAATTATTTATAGTAAATAATAATTCTAAAAATAATTAATATATATTTATTACACTTTTTTTAATTTTAAAAATAATTAAAATTAATTACAAAACTATAAATTTTTCCCACTAATATTGATGTCCTCAAATAAACATTATTTAACCTGGTTCTCCATTCTCGAATCGAAAAACAAAGTGAAAATGATGGACTAAAAAATTTTAGGAGCACGAAAATGGGAGACCAAACCATGTTAAATTAAATAGAAAAACAGAAGATGGAAAAACCAAAATCCAAAACGTTATCAAATCGGCTTAAACGTTTATGTTTATTAAAAATGGACAAGAAATAAGAACCAACGTCAGAAAAGGGATTCCGCCATTTTTAAGTTCCTGCCGACCTTTTCTAACTTTTTCTGCTATGGTTTTTGTCGTTTTTCATGGCGCTGACCCACTGACCAAAAACCTCCATTTCTGAACTTCGGAAAGAGAGACGAAAAGGGGTTATTAAAAAAAAAAAAAACTTACTTGTGGGTTGTTCTTCAATGGCGGTGTCAAGATTTGAAGAGCATTGGGAATGGTGAATTGGCCCAGGCAAGAGAAGAGGTTTCGGAAAATGGAAATTGAGAAGATCCATGAGAGAACTGCCACAGAATTTTATTTTTTTATTGTTATTTTAATTTGACGCCGGAGGATAAAGAATTGTGTAAGAATTTTCTAATGGATATTCCTCAACTTTCATGTTTCGATTCGTTCTCTCGTCTTTAAATTACAATACTGTTCACGATGAATTTCGGGGAAGATATGTAAGGTGCTTGCTTACCGATGATCGAATGAAACTACAACCAGAAAAATAAACGACGGCGTCTGGCATAATGCACTTCAGTAATCAAGTCAGTAATCGGAGTAGAAATATATGAATAGGAATAGGCACCAAAGGTTTAGTAACAGGTTTTCACTTAAACGAGATTCTTCCCTATTATAGGTGCGGTGGGCCAACTATGTTGGTTAGAGGTATAAGGAGACGTCGAGCTGTACAAGGCCCTGACGAGGGAGGTGAGCGTCCCTAACAGTTAGTGGGTGACGTCTCTACCTACTGGTTTGTCCCCGTGCAGCTGCAGGTCGCAAGCTGGAGTTCTCAACGTCTCATCCGTACAGCTGTGGTGGCGACATGTCTGTATACATGTGCAACGTACAATGCTAACTGTCTGCGGTCTCGTGCCTCGCTGTTGCTCCCCTGCTCGACGCATGTCCGGCTCGAATTTCCCCCTCAACAAATACTAATCGATGTAGTTTTAATTTTGATTCATTTTAGTTTTTACTATAGTCCATATATGTTTTTCTAA